TGTTCCTGTGTAGAGCAAACATCTGGAAGGCTGGGTTTCCCTCTTGCTTCCAGGGATGAGATGACTTTTCTGAAAGAGCCATTCCTGTTGGTCTACACAGGCTGGCCAGGGCCTCCCTTGGTTAGCGTCAGACAGTACAAGTGTCAGATCAGCCTTACACTCCAAAGGGTGCTGCACTGTGTAACCATTGCTGGAACTTATCAAAAGCCTAGTGTTATTTCCAGAGATCGTCTTCTGTTCAGGACTTCAAGCTGTGATCCAAAAGCCCATTCCTGGGGTGGGAGAGGATTCTTTTAGTGTGAGGTGCTCACTGAAACTTAGCTTGAACAACACAGACTAGTCTTGTGGTGCGTCCTACAGCTAGCTGCCAGCAATGCCTGACCCTGGCAAGGCTTGGGGGATGGTTTTAGGGTCCAGCCACCTCAGGTCCCTTCGCTACCTCTGGCCACGTTGAATTGTACAGCCACTTTTCCTTCCAAGGGAACTCTGCTCATACCCTGGTCCCTTGCCAGGTAACCAGCCGAATTCCTCAGTTGTCCCGGTAGACTTCCTCCATTAAATGCTGCCTGCCTTGATCAATTTGCATATATTAAACTGTTCTCGTGAAGCTCAGCTCTCTTATCTACAAAATTCGACAGTGAAGTCTACTTCTCCCTCCTTACTTATCCTGCCTCCCTTTCTCCTCTTCCTGTTCTCTTTGCTTCTCTCTCTGTCTCCCTGTCTGCCTCTGAACGCCGAGTGTGCCCTAATGATCTGTCCCCAGCCTCCCGCTCCAACCATGACTTGGTGCTGCTGCCTTCTGGAATGGTCCCATCTGGTCACCTCTGCCCGCATTGTGCAGTGCCAAAGGACCTGCAGCTCCAGAGTGTAGCACAGCCTTGCTGTGCTCCTGTACAGTCTTTGGTGGAAAGACGCTGGGGGGTGGCTTGAGAGTGGGATGGGGTGGGGTAGGTGGGGTGGGGTGGGGCGGGGAGCAGGGGTCCCCACCCTGCCTATTTGGTGAGGGCTGGTCTCTGTCTAGGTGCCTGTTGCTTCACACTTTTTCTCTGTGACACGAAATGATGGCTGTTAGCCGAGATAGAATCCACCAGGTATCTAAGTTCTCTTCTTTTGAACATGTGTCTATTGTGGGGAAGGCACAGACCATAGCACGCTCTGGAGGTCAGAGGACAAAAGTGGAAGTCAGTTTTCTTCTTCAACCATGCAAATTCAAGACATCAAAGGTCACCAGGCTTTGTTGCAAGTGTCTTTTACCCCTGAGCCATCTTATCAACTCCCTTTCCCCCCCTTCAAATTTCAAAAGGTTAGATTTCTGAGACATGTGTGAGTCTGCCTATCACTTTCTGTACTGGAGTAAGTCCGTTAGCATAATTTATGTGTTTTATAAAAGGTTAGAGGCTGCACTAAGAAAGCCACATAGCCTTGGAACCACTGGGTTAATTCTCCCCTTTTCTGGTGTGATTTTAGCATGCTTATCAGCTAGCAAAGTCTCTTCTGGCTCAACACAGAAGACCACATGAAGAGCCTGCATCTTCCTCAGAAGCACATGCTTCCAGAGAGCTTGTTTTGTATTCCCCTTATGCTAAGCATTTCCTGCAGCATGTGACAGTCAAGGGAACACTGGTTTGTGCAGAGGAGCATGCTGACCAGCTTACAACTCCACTGGAAACAGTGAGACACAGATTAGATATTGCCAAAACCCAGAGCAACACATCCGGAGACAAGCTAATGTTCCCTCCTGATGCCCAGAGGAAAGACAAAGGAGAGACTCCCAGTATCTTCATGGCCGCTCACAACTATCTGTAACTCCTTTCCATGGGACTCAATGCTCTCTTCTGGTCTCCCTGGACACCAGGCATGCATGGTGTGCACAGACATACATGTAGGCAAAACACCCATGTACTCTTAATAAAAAAGATGCTGGTTATGTGTTGTTGCCCAGCACTACCCAGAGCAGCCGCCATCTTCTTAAGACTAGATGGGTCTGGTTTGCAAAAGATCACCAGAGCTGGGTTTGTCGACTGTTGGCATTCCATCTAGAGCAGAGGTTCTCAACCTTCCTAATGCTGCTACCCTTCAATACAGTTCCTCATGTTGTGGTGACCTCCAACCATAAGATTACTTCCTTGCTACTTCATAACTAATTTTTCTACTGTTATGAATCATAATGTAAATATTTTTGGAGATAGAGGTTTGCCAAAAAGGGTCTCGATCCATGGGTTGAGAACTGCTGTCCTAGGTCATTAGATCCTAACCTTCACATTCAGCCACCTTAATCAAATTCTGTCCTGCTTTATACCTGGCTTCGTGGCCTCTGAGAGGGCTGGGGAAGATCAGGGAGAGGGAGCCCCATCCATGTGGTTATGGGAAAGCCACCGTGCAGCATGAAGTCTTTCCAGTAAGGCTATTTTAGGGGCACCTATGGATGCATAGATTAAGATACATGGGACTTGGTTAAATATAGGTTAATTTTATTTGGGAATAAGTCACTTACATAAGGAACCAATGACCCATACTTTCTAGCTCCAAGGATCCACACTCAGGCTGCTCTCTGTGACCCGACCAGAACCAAGAGAGTGAGCTGGGGTCCGGGACTCCAGACCTAGGCCTCCCTCCCCGGTCACATCTACACCTGTGACCACGCCAAGATGGACGTGGTCAGTGCAACAGGTGCAGGCGGGGTGGGTATCTCACTGCAGGGCATCCACAGTCTGTGAGTCACCCCTCACCTGTGCTCTATAAGTAGTCCAGTTAGCTCTGGTTCTCCAGGGAGAACAGTAGGTTGAGTCTTAGTCTCCCATTAGGACCTTAAAAGGAGTGGGATAGATCTGGCCTGATCCCCTATAGCAAGAAAATTCTTGAAACGTGGGTATCAGGGATCTGAAAAGGAGGGGGGGAGCAGATGTGAGAAAGTCCTTGTTTGTAATGCCTTAAGGACAGAAGCTGCTGGATAGCACAGATGCAGCGTGAGTGGCGGGTACCCTGTGCACAGATAACCTGCAGCAGCGGCGGGCACCCTGTGCAGAGATGATAACCTGCAGCAATGGCGGCGGGTACCCTGTGCACAGATGATAACCTGCAGCAGCAGCGGGCACCCTGTGCACAGATGATAACCTACAGTGGCGGCGGCAGGTACCCTGTGCACAGATAACCTGCAGCAGCGTGAGCGGTGGGTACCCTGTGCACAGATGATAACTTGCAGCGGCGGCGGCGGCGGGTACCCTGTGCACAGATGATAGCCTGCAGCGGCGGCGGCGGGTACCCTGTGCACAGATAACCTGCAGTGGCGACGACGGGTACCCTGTGCACAGATAACCTGCAGCAGCGGCGGCGGGTACCCTGTGCACAGATAACCTGATACAGAAGATGAGGGTCTGGCTCCAGAGACAGAGGCGGGGCTGAATTCTGACTCTCACACACAAATGGGGGTGTGAGCAGATTTGCATAACTTCTTCAACTCAGGTTCCAGTCCTCCATCTGTGAAGTGGGGCAGTCATGGAGCCTGTTCCATCGGCTTCCAGTGAGGACGTGGGTAAAAGTGTGTGAAGCGAGTGATTGCTGGTGTGTGCTGTTCTGGTCTACACAACTGACGGTGATTTAGTTGTCCCCTCCCCACTCCTGTCACTTCCCCAGCCGCCTTCCTATTCAGAGCTTTTATAGCGAACACCTATGTACTGGGTCTCTAATCAAGAAAACAAAGTGTTGCGGGTTTTGTTTGTTTGTTTTTCGGTGGGTTGGTTTCTTTAAGAGAATACTTGAAAGATGCTGCGTCCCATCCCATTCCCAGTGGCAGGGTGGAAATGACCATATAACCCTTTGGGCCTCCTGGCTGCTGTGCTATGCTCTGTTAATTGGGGCCCCTCCTCTGTCACATGGACTGAAACTGCAGGGCTGCTCTTGGCTGCCACTGGCACAGACAGCTGGATCTAATTGTGCAGAGCTTTGCTGGATGAGGGCTGCAGAGGGAATGTTTTGGGAAATCTGCATCATCGTGACCCTAAACCTACTGCATGTTTTCCAAGCAGACAGTAGTTAAGGATTTGCTGAAACAGTAGTGCTGTAAATGAGTTGTTATTCTATAGAAAGAACAGAACTGAAAGCCAAGGAAGACAGATTGCTCCTGCTTATTCAGAGACCACTCCCATGCACACACTCAGCTCTCTTCCCACTGGCTTTGAGCTGCTATGCTGCCTTCTGGGCCCTGCCTCCTTCCTTTCTCCATCTCCAGCAGGTGTTTGTTTCAAATGACTGAAGTGTCGCCCCCCACCCCACCCCAGGAGACAGTGGTTGTACCCCTGCTGTCACCAGCCCAATGTGGGTGCAGCAGAAGTGGTCTGTGTGCTTGGCCCACCCCGCTGGTCTTGCTCCTGTTTTGGGGTATAGACCGCCAGTGCTCAGGTGAGGGTCCCCAGTAGAAGACTCTGTGCTTGCCTGGCCTGGAACTCTCCTTCCCCACCTCATTCTGTCATTTTCCCAACCACCTTCCTGTTCAGTCACATGGGCTCTTGATATTTCCAGCCACGCTGAGGTTCTACTAACTCGGCCTTCATGACTGCCCTTCCTGCTGCCTGGATCCCTTTCTGATGCAGTTGCCGGGAATGGCCCTCATCCCTTCCAATCTGTGTGCCAGGCCAGAAGTTTACCAGGCAGGCCCTGGAGACACTCTCTCCAGACATTCCCTTCCCTCATCCTGGCCAGCGGTTTCCCAAAAATACTTCTCTTTTCCCTGCTTACTACAGATTTCTTCTCTCTTCTCCTGTAAAACCTGAGCTCTGTGGGCATGAGCGTGTGTGATGTTTCCATTGCTCTATTTCCTCCACCTTCCTCAGTTCTGGAATTAGACATGTCTCACATCTGCCCACTGTTCCTTCATCTTCTTTTTGTCTGCCTTCGTATCCGTCCTTCTCCCCCTTCCCCTCTCCCTCTTCTTCCTCCTAGAAAGAGCAGAGAGAGAGAGAGGGAGGGAGGGAGGGAGGGAGGGAGGGAGGGAGGGAGGGAGAGAGTGCTGCACAAAAGACTTGTATCTAGAAAACATCCTTTAGGGGCTGGAGAGATGGCTCAGAGGTTAAGAGTACTGACTGCTCTTCCAGAGGTCCTGAGTTCAATTATAGACTCACAACCACCTATAACGAAATCTGGTGTCCTCTTCTGGCCTGCAGACAGATGTGGAGGTAGGATGTTGTATTCATAATAAGTAAATAAATAAATCTTTAAAAGAAAAAAGAAAACATCCTTTAGGATGGACATCAACCTGGAAACAAAATCAGTTGTTCTTTGCTGTGCTGAATTACACCAATCAGAATCCCTGTCTCTCTGCAGCCCTCAGCAGATACCAAGATCCTCAAGGCCCGGACCTCTCCATCAGTGTCAGCTTCTTGGATGCCCACTTTCCCTAGCTCCCTTCCTCCTCCCTCCTTTCCCCCTCCCATTAAGAACATCATATTTCCTTAGGTGAACCTGCAAAATGGCAAACCAACAAACAGCACTACTGTCACTGCGGCTGGCACCTGTTACTCAGTGCCCGTGAGTGATGGGCCTGGATAGTGTTTCGTTGTTTGACAATCTCAGGCCATTCTAAAGAACAGACATTGCATCAGGGCCCACAGGTCTCTTCTTTCTGTCTCTTAATTGCTTTATGATGAGTATAGCTCATGTAATACATAAGTGTACAAATATTAAAACACCGTTTTAAATACTGTATGACTATAGAGGAAATACAAAGTGACATGTACAATATTTTAATATGTAGATTACACATCGCCTCTTTTTTCTTACCATTTATCTTCATCATGTCTTCAAGACTTGTCCAAGCTTCCTTTTTAATGTCATCCATATCATTTTAATTGCCCTTGCTTTCTCCTCCCTGGGAGCCTGCTGTCCTGCTCCAGGTTGAACTAACTGCTCCTTAGCCCTTTGCACAGCTGCCATTGTGGGGCTTCTTTTTGGCTCCCTGCTGCTAGAGTCTTCTTAGTCATGCATAGTAAGGTTTACTTCCATGTAGTTTGAGAGATGAAAGCTGTCATGTTGGCCACCATGTAGCCACGGGGAGAAGCGCTTGTCTGCCACAGGTCCCGTGTGTGCCTTCAGAGTCTGCCTGTGTCTCTGTCCTTACCCAAGCCTTTTATCTTTTTAGACTGTCTTCATGACTGAGATCATGTGACACTGCTGTACGTTCCTTTCCTTAGTGTAAGGCGGGGGGTGTGTTCCTTTTCTGGCTGAGTGGTTTGGGGTTCGTGGTTAGGCTAGGATTGTTTCCTCCCCACCAGCTGGTGGACTAGGCAAGTGGAGAATGGAGGTGCCGTCGTGTGTAGTGTGAAGTAGACGGCGGGCCTCAATGGGGAAACACCTACCTCTGGGTTCTCTGGAGTCCACCGGCCTTCTTAAATGGCTGTGTGGGTTGAAGCACACAGCTGATCTTGTGTCTCCTGTTGACAAGTAAGTCTGTTATCAGTTTGTGTCTTACCTGCTTTCCACACATTCTCTTAGGCAAAGGTTCTCAAAAATCAAAAATGACTAATTTTTATAGAAAATAGAATGTTTTCTTACTATTGAATTGTAACAATTCTTTGTATATTGCATATGTCTTATAAAAATCTAACCAAATAAAAATATTACAATCTTTTAGTCCCTTGTATTTTCTTTTCTTGGGGTATAGCAGTGTTTTCGTGTTTGGACTCTTCTCCTGCTCTGTGTTTAGGTTTGTGTCACCTGTCTTTTGCGTCATTGTTCTGCTTTTATTCTGAGTCTGGTGGCTTGTAGTTATGTCTGATCTTTTCCTTTTGTGTGGTCATGGCCCTATACCCACCCTGCAGGAAGACAGTCGGGTTGATTGGCTTGCAGGGTGCAGAACCCCAAATGCCTGCAGGTGTGGAGATTTACTCTTGGATGCTAGAGGGAAACCTGAACTTCTCCACCCTGTTTTCTCCTGGTGGGTATGCTGTCTGAGCTCCTGTCCCCTGCCCAACTTCTTCTTGTTGGTAACATAACCAAGGGCCTCTCTGAGCTCAGCCTCCCACATCCCGACCCTAGGCAGCAGACTTCACTGCCCATAGCCCCCCCCAGCCTCTCCTGGCATGGCCTACCTAGGGGCTATGCTTTAGGTAAAAACCGCACTGACTTCCAGGGACACCACAAAGTCACTCATTGATTCGTGGAGCCCTTCCAACCCCATTCTCATCTTTTCCTTCTAGGCTTTTCTTTCTGGGCTACATCAGGCATTGCAGGAGCAATGTGTCACTCCCACATGTTGCCTGGATTCAGGGTAGCAGTATCTGTCGGTGGTTTGGGACTTTGAGAGTTTGTCATGAGGACAGGTGATGGGCAGAAACCCAGTTTCAGTCACATACTAAGCCCATTGCTTTCTCACCCTTGACTACAACCAGTGTCACTGAGTGTGACAGCAGCAAGAGTCTCACTTGCGTGGGCAGTCACACACGCAAAACCACTCCTGCTGTGTTCAGGGCCATTGGCATCTTCTGGAGCTGAGAAGAGTGTGGTTCTAGATGTGCCCTCTCAGTAGATGGGGCTCTTTGAAAGTGCTCCCTGCTAGCTGCAACCGTAGGTAAGTGGCAGTCTCTCTGAGCCTTGTCACCATGTAGATTCAATAGGCCCTTTTGTACACAGTAAGCCCTACTGTTTGCCCTGAATCTCGGCTTCCAGGAAAGCTGTTAGCTCATGACTGCAATCCCTTTTATCGTTCATATCCACCTTTGCAGCCAGAGGCCACTTGTCCTTTTCTGGCTCCGTAGATCCCCGCATCAGCTCTGATACCTGCTGAGTTCCTTAGAAGTCCTTGCCTAGGCACCGCCATGGGATGTTATGTCCTGTCACCCAGCTGTCTTCTTAACTGACACCTTGTCATGAGTAGATTTTGTTGGAAAAGGGTGAGCATGTTTGTGTCTTTCCATATCAGAATTTATTGAGCAACAAGAAAATAATAGGTGACATCAATTTCACTGTCTTTAATCCACTAAAAACTACTGAGTTACTTGGCAGACTTGGTCACTGGAAGGTACAGATTCTTCTCTTCCAGTCTTAATTACTAACTCTGGTCACACATTTGTCTTCAGAGAGAGAGAGAGAGAGACAGACAGACAGACAGACAGACAGACAGACAGACAGAGACAGAGACACAGAGAAACAGAGACAGACACATAGACACACATGGAGAGACAGATACACAGAGGCGGGGCAGATGGGGAGTGGGGGACCACACAAGTGTCAGAGAGGCCTCACTGAAAGCAGAAGTGGGAGCAGCCGCAGATACAAAGGGTTACTGCAGGTGCTTAGGTAAGAGAGTGTAATCCAGTCTCAGCCTGGAGGGGCAGGGCTGCACCAGGCAGGGTGCCATGTCAAGTGGCAGCCCTGGGGACGGAGCTGATCATGTGATGCAGGCACCTGAAGGGATGGTGACGGTGATGGGGGTGTGCTGTGACCATGGGAGGGCAGGGTTATTCTGGGTTGCAGTTCAGAAGACTGCCATGAGTTATGATGGGAAGACAAGGTAGTGGGAGTGGCCTGGTCATTGTCATCAACCAATCAGGAAGCTGGGCAGTAATACTCAGCTGGCTTTCTCCCTCTTCCCTTCTGTTTATTCTGGGCCTTTAGCCCATGGGAAGGTGTTCCACCCACAGTCAGTGCCGGCTTCCTTATCTCAGTTAAACCTCTAGAAACACCCCCTCCAGACATTCCCCTGGGATGTGTTGTCTAAGACAGTTAAGTTCCAGTAAAGATGAACCCTTACACCCAGAGTTAGGTGTCCCTTTTAGATGACTCAGGACAAGGGATTGTGCCATTTTTTAGTCTGGTATGTTTGATTTTTTTTGATGGTTTTGATCTGCCCATGTATTCCTGACTTAATTTGATTCATTAGCAGGTAGTAATATTTTATGTAAATAACTTTGTACCCATGGTTGGTGCTAGATAGTGGTTTGTTTCTTGTGCAAACCTGTTTTGAGGTCACACTGCCTTGGCATTTGAACTCAAAATGAACTCAAAATGGAGAAAACTTCTGACTTATAAAATAAAGTTATCAGGGTCTGGGAAGGGGCTGTCTGTGGGCGCCATGTCGGGCCTCGAAGGTGGCAAAAAGAAGCCCCTGAAACAGCCCAAGAAGCAGGCCAAGGAGATGGACGAGGAAGATAAGGCTTTCAAGCAGAAACAAAAGGAGGAGCAGAAGAAACTGGAGGAGCTGAAAGCCAAGGCCGCGGGGAAGGGGCCCCTGGGCACAGCTGGAATTAAGAAATCTGGCAAAAAGTAAGCTGTTCCTCATACCTGAGATGATGGTGACCCTCTTCCCTTCCTATTTAAACATCTGGATTCCCTGCATAATAACGTCTTTGCCACCTACAGCTAGAATGAAGTGTCATCCTGGAGCCTGTTAAACATCTGGATTCCCTACTATAACATCTTTGCCACCTACAGCTAGAATGAAGTGTTATCTTGGAGCTTGTTGTACATTGTAATAAATAAACTTTTGTAAAAAAAAATGAAAACAAATAAAATAAAGTCATCAGGATACAGCATAGCCATAAAGCAACTGTCCTGTGCACCAGGGAGTGACAGCCTGTTGGCCACACACCTGCTGGACCCTCTGTGAAGTCTAGAAACTCTGCCCTGGCTTACATAAGGATGGAGTCCAGTCTTGCTACCCTGCCTGTGCTGCCTGGACAGATCACCTGTCTGCCTGTCACTCATTCTTCTGTTTAGAGATTGGAGGCCAGAGCAGTGGTGACGGTTGTATGAGTACGCTGACGCTCTTGAAGATCTAGAGCAGTTGCAAGGTGCAGAGAGGTGATGTGAGGGAGGCACCTAGCACAGTGGCTGGCATGCAGTGTGTGCTTAGGAAACCTTGCCACCCATGCTAGCTGACCTGGGCCCTCCTCCTAGGCATTGGGGAATCCCAGAACCCCTGAGACTCCAGGCTGTCTTGGCCCGGCTTCTACCTGTCTACTGCTTCTTTTCTTGTGATTGCTGTTTTGCTGCTAATTTAGGCAACAGGTTTAAAGTGTCAGCCTTTGTTCCAAGTACATACAAATGGCAGCTCGTCCAGTCTTTATGACTAAGAGCTACTCTAGGTGGCGGGTGCTGCTATCAGGGCTGTTTTTCAGATGAGGTCAGACTTGTTCAGGGAACTGTAGCCACAGATTCAGTGCCATTTTCAGATGACTAAAGACAGGCATGGAGAATTAGTGACTTGTGCTGGGCCACAGAGTGAAGGTGTCATCAGGTCCATTTGGTTCTCCAATCCAGTCTGCTCTCTGCCTTTCTGTGCTGTGTATGCCTTCAGCACTCACTTATGAGACTAAAGCCAACTCTCTGTCGGGCACCAGTGGGAGAGTCTCCTGGGAGCGCTGACATTTCTGCTTCTATCCCAGGACCCCTCATTTGTACATCCCTTATAAGGATGGCTTTCTACGGGTGGGAAGGCCTGCACATCTCTCGAGGACTTGCTGGCTTCTCTCTTGCTTGTCTGTCTCCTGCTCCTGCTCTTGGGCTCCTGCAGCGGGGGACTCTGATGTATCCCCTTCCTCAGTCAACCCTATCCCAGTCTCGGCTGGCCCTGCTCCCACTGCTCAGTGGCCTCCTGTCCTGGTGCCTTTGTCTTCCAGCTCCTCTGAACAGTTGCCATGAGTGAACCTGGCAGTTTTCCCTTTGTCTCTTGTCTTTGTCTTCTGTCAGAAGGTGGGTGGGAGCAGGCAGGAGACAGCTTGCAGCAGTTCACAGATGTGGCAGGGTGCCGGTGACTGCTGCCAGCCCATCCTTGAGGTGATGTGTTTTCCCTGTGGACACACTGGGGTAACATGATTTGGAGAAGACTGCAGTTGGACTTCAGCCCACATGTGGAGGGCCACGTGTTGGTACTAGCTTCCTGTGGTCTGGAGGCTGAGATGCCATAGGGACGGGGGTCTTCAGGGAGGATGCCTCTCTTCCTCAGGACTCCTCTTTCAGAGGTTTCTGAATGCTCCATGCACAAGTCAGGGTTGAGTCTTTCTTAGGGCATGTCATGGTGTCTGACATCCAGGGCTCACCTCTGACTGTGGGCTCAGAGCTGTGGGGCTCACCTGACTGGGGGCTCAGAGGTGCTATGTCAGGTGACAATGAGTGTTGACACTCATTTTCGCCTAAGAATGCACACAGGTGAGGCTGTTTAGAGGAAGTTGATTTTGTGACTGCACTAGTAATAAATATTTGCCTTTGACTGGCAGAGAGTGTCTAAATGAACCCTGTGTTGCTGAGATTTTTTTTATGGCAGCTATAGGTCTGGGCCTGCAGAAACTGAGGTGCCCTGTAAGACCCTAGGAAGGTTTGGCCAATAGGAACTTGGAATCTTGATTGAGCTCAGAACAGGAGCATGGGTGCCACAGGGCTACCAGCTGAAGCCAGTGGTATGTGTGTGGTCATCACACTGAGCAGCATGATGGGGAAGGCAAGCATGGGCAGATCCAGGTGGGGCTGGGGCCTGCGTCAGAAACAGGAAGACATGACGAGGACAATGACAGTCAGGCCTTCAAGACATGGCCTTGTAGAGAGGTTCAGGGGACAGTGTAGGGCCACGGTGTCCCAGTCGGGAGTTGACATTGTTGGAATGAAGACCCAGTGGCAGGAGAGCAGGGCATGGGGAAGGCAGGAGGGGGAGGGAAGACAGTTGATGATAACTCTGCTGAGGAGGAGAAAGAAGAGGGCTGGAGGAGACAGGCAGGGTGTGGCTAGGCATGAATCTCATCTATTGGTGAGTGAGGCTTAATGCACACCAGCACGCAGCAGGAAGGGACACTAGAGGAGGAGGTCGAAGATACTGCTGAGACCTCTGGGAAGACTGAATGGTGGCATGGGGCCAGGTTGTGTGGCTTCTGTTTTCTGGTGGACTCAGGGAATCTGCATGACAGAGGGCGAGACCCGGATGACTCTCCTCTTAGTCTGCTCTCACGCCCTCTCGCCCTCAGCCAGGGTCAGAGCTGACCAGCCTAGATGGCCTGTATGTCTAGGGCATTGGGAGGGCCATGTGCAACCCTGGGGCATCCTGGATTTAGAGCTTCTGTCTGAACAGTAAATATCAACGACTGTAAAAAAAAAGTTCATTTTAAAGATGAACACAGTTTGTAAATGCATGAACAGCTCTGCACCAGTGCTGTAAATAATTTTAAAGTGCCGGGTGTTGGCAGTGCACACCTTTAATCCCAGCACTCAGGAGACAGAGGCAGGCAGATCTCTGTGAGTTTGAGGCCAGCCTGGTCTACAGAGTGAGTTCCAGGACAGCCTCCAAAACAATACAGAGAAACCCTGTCTAGGAAAACCAAAAAACAAACAAACAAACAAAAAACCCACATACACATACATACACACATACGCTCTTCCCAAGCACATACATACACACACCTACTGCTACTGTTGTTTATTTTTGAATGCAGGAAAAATATGGAGGGAAATGCCATCAGTCAGAGATTAGACACTAAGCAGTCTAATTCCTGAATGGTGTTTAAATGCACTAGTTTTGTATTTAATTAAAACACACAGTTTCTCAGTGTTGACATTGGGAGTCCTAGGAGAGGCCTTTGTCTTGGCACACAGTGGGGAGGAAATTCCACTGAGGCAGGTGAAGTATGCGCTGGAAATGACTCCAGGTTCACATTTCAGACAAGGTGCAGACAGCAAACAGATGAACCCTACACAGTCATTCAGGTGTGAGTTTGAGAAGTCACAGTGTTCCTTCAGGAGGATGAGCACGGCAGCGCTTGCTAAAGCGGGGTGTGGTAGCAATTTTTATGAGAAAACTGCAAGAAGGGCCTCGCTCCAGTGCCCCCTGTCAAATGCTGGCGTTTGTTAATTGATGCTACTGTCGTTAGACCTGGGATCTAAGACTGCCAAGTTGAAATG